ATTTCTTTTAACTTAAAAAACTCATAATTAAAAACCTAGTTCTTTTAATTCAATATTTATAAATAGAAAACTAAAATAAAATATGTTTTAGTACTTAAATATTTTAGAATACTAATTATAGTTTCTATAAAAAATTTAATATGTTTTTAATCTTTATATTTATAATATATATATATATATATATATATATGTTGGGGGGAGGGGGGGTTTAGTTTCCCCTAGAGGACTAAAAATGTGTTTTTCGATAAATTTAGAGACTAAAAATGTATTGAAGTTTTATAAGAAATAAAATTAACATTTCAAAAAATATTTGGAGAAATTAAAAACATATTTTACCCAAAAATATGTTACAAAATAAGTCTCTAAACCCTAAACTCTAAATTAATTATATTTGTATTACTTTTGTAAAATATTTTTTCCTAATACAAAATTATATTTTACGATAAATTCTATTAAAAAATTATGGTAATTTCTTCTTTGTTAAGTAAAATTTTTAGAAAAAAAAAAATATTTTTAGAAGTATATGACAAAGTATATTCCCTTGTAAAAGTATATGACAAAATAAAAATAGTTGATGGGAGTTATATTTGACAAAGTATATTCCCTTGTAAAAGTTTAATTTACTTAATAACCCTCGTTAATTAAAAGTACAATTTGTTATTAATCTCATATAAGTAAAAGTTTGTAATTATTTTAATAATTGATTGATATTTATGAGCAATAATATACGTTCTTATCATTCATAAGCATTATTAAATGCAATGAAAATGTGAATTTTTATATTATATGTGCGGGTTCAAATAATACTAGTATAACTCTTATTAATTATTATATTATTTAATATTTTTTATATTAAATAAATTTTTTGTTGATATAATTGTTAACTGATAATTTTATATCATTTTGTATATTTATATTAAATTTTATTAAAATTGAACAATAATCCAAAAGTAATAAAATATTTATAATTTTACGTTAATTTTATTTTATAAAATTTTTGTTTTATGAGAATGATAAATTATTTTGGATTGAAATAAAATTTTGTATTTATAATTTAGAAATAATTTTGTTTTAATATAACAATAAAATTTGAGAAAAAAAATAATAAATAGTTTAATAATCGTAGAAAGAATTCACTATCATGATGAAGCTTATGAAACTTATGGATAGATGATATGTGTGATATTTAAAATTGAAGTGGATAAGACTAAGAGCCCCGTGAAACTGTGACATGTAAAGGTAGGGCATGATCCATACATAAAGATACTGGATTTCCCAATCGTCAATTTATTGAGAATAAGCCAAAAGCAGGGCAAGTGTATATTCTATTATTGTAGATTTTTTCTTCTTCATTTTGATTTTAAAATTACTATAAAGGTCAATTATTCAACAAATCAATGCCTTGACTTAAACTCCCATGCAATCCTAATCTTCACAAATATAATTGGTTTATTATTTTTTGTTAAATAATATATAAAGTTCGAATATAAATAATAAACATTAATTTTTTTATCCTAAATACTTATAGTTTGAGTCATAATATATTAATTTAATCCTTTGTGAATTTCTTAATTTCAGCTAAATTACTTGTTTTAAACCGAATATAGATAGACTTACTTAATAAATTTTATAGAATATTTTCTTTCATAAACTGAATATTTTAATATTTCTCTGGCTCAAGGACTTGAAATGTGGATAATGTACAAAATATATCATTTAGTTGTAAGGATTCTAATATCATCCGTATAAAATACAAGTTAGCATCGATAAAAGGTCCATGTTTATGGCTATTTAAGGGACGATCAAGCAATACATGGCCTTAAATTCTTTGCAATGAAAGCCATCACAAATGTGTTTATACATTTGTATTAATGGAAAGGATTTGTCACTTTATAATTATTTTTGGTCAAGTCAACTCTTTAATTCTGTCATTATCGAACCTGCAACCAAGAACAATAAGAGGGAGTTTAGAAAGCACAGGAAAGAAGAAGAGAGTGAAACAATTTCAATTTCAAAACCAGCAAAGAGGTGAGAGAGGGTTCACAATTTCTTCCTATTAATATATATCTTTTGATAATTATATTTTTTAATATATCAAAAATATCCAACTCGGTAAATTGAATGGTGTGTTAAATGTTATTAATCATTTTGATATCGAGTTCAATTTTCGTAGAAATAAAAGTTTAGAAAAATATTAAAAAAAACATATTAATATTAATTAATAAGCATGACACTAATTATTCACGCTAATTTATGTTTTTCATATGCATGTGAATGATTTTGTATTATATTTCTAAAAATATCTATCATTATATACACCGATCTTCTTTAAAGTATTTTTAAAATGGCACACACCTCTCTTTTAATTTTTAAAGTGAATTTTAATCTCTCTTATTTATCTATATAAATGACACATAATTTCTTATATAAGATAATATTATTTATACGTTGTTAAGAAAGAACGAATTATTAACGCAAGTATCAACAATTGAATAAAATGATTTCTTACTTAACTTTAACTTTCAAATTATATCTTAAATATTATGTTTGTTGTGATTTAAAAAATATATCAATTTTAACGAACAATTTCAAAGAATAGACTAATAAATTATTATTTTTAAAATTGAAGAATAATAAAAATTTTCATAAAAAAAATAAAGTATTACATGAAATTTAAAATGAAAAATAGACACATACATAATTGATAGAATATTAATTGATTTTTTTTCTCTTTTTTCTTACTTTAACTAATAACATTATTATAGGATGGTGAGGGATTTTCAAAAACTAATAAGAACAAATATGTATCATTTAAATAGACTTTAGGAGAGATAAGTGTAATTTTTCTTTTCTTTAAAACAATTAAAAAAGGTTTTAAAGTATACAAATTTACAAATAAAAAGGTAGATACAGTGAATATAAATATAAATATTTATTAAAATTAATTTATTTTAATTTAAGGATATAAATATACACCAACCTTCACTTATTGTTTTAAGACATTTTCCTCTTGCAAGAATTTTATTCATCTATTAAATATGAGCTGTTCAAGCAACCATATTAGGTAGAGTGGTCTTTATGTGCTAAGAACCAATTTGGTCCTGTTTTAATTATTTGATTGTTCTTTTCAACTATCTAATTGTCAAATATGGCCACCAATGTTAAGGCAAATATCTATCGATCACAATACCAAAAAAAAAAAAAAAAAAAAAATCTATTCATTAAATTGTGGAATTGAATGATTTTAATGGTTGTCTTGCGATCTAAGGATTAGGTTGCTAGATCTCGTGAATTTAATCAAAGACAAACTTCAGACGTGTTTATTTTATTGATTATCTTTTACCTTTTTTTACATGATTTTATCGATTTCATAAATTTCGGACTTCCGAAAGTGAAAGTTTTGTTGGAGAAACAAAACTTTTTTTTTATTTATTACAATTTTATTTTTTATTTTTGGGATAAACTTTATAAATCCCCGTTACAACTTAGAAGTTTCTCTTGGAAAAATTTAACAATAATTTGATGGAAAAAAAAAATTATTATCGGCATATCCAAAAGGTTTTATTTGGGCCTTGTTGGGCTTTATTAGGTCCGGATACGAACAATACGGTTTACTGCAGTTGGTATGTAGTTAGATTTCTTAAGTACGTTAACAAATATTTGATTCATTAATCAAATAAATGTATGATTTTAATGCTGAGAAACAAATTTAAATAAATGATTGTTTTGAAAAAAAAATAAAAGATAAATATTTTAAAAATATTTATATTAAAATAAAATCAAAATTTTGCCTTTTATAAATAAACAAACTTTTCTTTCACCATGATATTTTTATATGACCAATAAGTTTTAATTAGATGTGTAAAATGGTATGGTTTGAGAAACTAGACTTGTAGAAATGGAAAAAAAAAAATCAAATCAAATTTGACTTAATCTAGCGGATAAATGTGTCAAGTTAGCCTTATGTTTTGGAAATTCAAAATTTATTTAGCCTATTTGGCTTAATGTCTTTTTTATGTAAAAAAATAAAATAATTAATTTATGTATTAAGGATCCGATTAAGAAATTAGTAAATAATTAAAAATTAAAATTATTAAATAATTAGATTAGGTTATTTAAATAATTTTAATTAAGATAAAATAAAATTTGCAATAATAATATAAAATAATTTTATATTATCATAAATGAAAAATACAATGTATGATAATTTTGTTAATATTTACAATAACAACTTTCGAGAACTATACTAGGAATAATTTTAAATTAATTGATAATATAAAAGTTTATATCGACAATTCATAACTACTAGTAAACTCTTTTACTTAATTAAATTCTAATAATAATATAGGTAAATAGTTTTAAAGGTTGTGTAGTAACATGTGTACATATATTAAATTTTGAATTTGACAACATGGATAAATTAAAGCTTCTTATCAGGTAATTCAAGTGTTCATCAATGTAAAAAAATATTTTTACTTCCAAGGATAAAATTATCATGTTTACGAATTAAATTGTGTATTTGAGACAAATGTTTAAATTTATAAATAACTTTTTTTTTTACAATAAATTGTTTTTATTAAATTGAAAATGTGAAGCTCATGATTATTTGTAAACAATTTTTTTAAAACTCATTTATTACATAGAATAATTTTTTATTATACCTAAATGAAATTAAATAATTTAAAATTGTTTTTAACAATTCTGGAAAAAAAATTATTATAATTATAATAATAAATATCTATTATAATTGATTATGCATGTAAGCATAATCTAACTTTTACATATTCTTTTTAAATATCGAGTATAAATCATAGTATGCAATTATTTTTAATCTTTATTTTTTAATAAATTATTATATCTTTTAAATATTTTTTTTATATGTTTTATCTAAATAATTATCCAACTCCAAGCGTGTGGTTCAATGGTAGGGGTTAATTCATGTTTAAGTAAGGTCAGGGGTTCGAATCCTGCTTTGCATGCAGTCGCGTTAAATTAATTAATTACAAAGTAGATGATAAATTTGTTAGTTTTTAGCGTCAATTTCCTAAAAAATAGTATATGAATTGTGGTTTTTATCAATTGAAAGTGTATATTTTATTGTTGTGATTGAAGAGTTAGGTGTTGAAGGGTGAAAATGGTGGGGATGTTACCATACGACGACGTTGATTCCAACTTGAGAGCCATGGCCGGTCGCGCCGAGGGTTTCGGCCGCAACGCCATCGGTGGCCTTCACGGTTCTGTCTATTCCGTCACCACCCTTGCAGGCACCTCTTCCATTTCCCAAATTTACGCTTTTTTTCGTTCATTTGATTTCAGACACGCGAATCCTAATTTAATCAATTAAATCTATGTTATCTTATGTTCCTTTAATCAAGTAATTTAATTGAATAGAGATTAATGACAATGGTGTAGTTATGTGATTAATGGGAACATATATGTATCAATTGAATTATAGTTTGTGATCCATTGCTGGGATTTCAGATGATGGGCCTGGATCCCTTCGTGAAGGATGTCGTAGAAAGGAACCGTTGTGGATTGTTTTTGAGGTTTCTGGCACCATTCATCTTTCATCATACCTCAGTGTCTCATCTTATAAGACAATTGATGGCAGAGGGCAGAGGATCAAATTCACTGGGAAGGGTTTGAGGCTCAAAGAATGTGAGCACATCATTGTATGCAACCTTGAGTTTGAGGGTGGTAGGGGCCATGATGTTGATGGCATTCAGATCAAACCCAATTCTAGGCACATTTGGATTGATCGATGCAGCCTTCGTGATTATGATGATGGCCTCATTGACATTACAAGACAAAGCACTGATATTACCATATCTAGGTTGGCTCATTTTCCCCCATTTCCAATTCAATTACGAAACATGATGTGCAGTTTTATGTATGCCTATGCAATATCGATTGTTGATTTATTTTATATTGCATTAGAGATCTCACATCGATTATAGATATGATTACAATAATGTAGAAAAACTATTATTATCTTATAAGTTGATTTTGTAAAATTTAAATAGACTCAAACTCACATTTTTAAGATAATATCAGAACCTTTTATATCGATTATTACTGGATTTATCAAATTATCGACTAACATGTCACTATTGGGCCACATGTAAATGTCAACACATTCATGATTTGTTATGCATGTGAATGTGATATTGATTGTTTATTTTTTTATAGATGCTTATTTTACTCTTTAAAGAGAATTGCTCACTTTAGAGGAACTGAACCTGTTGGTCAAGTGTGCAGTATTGTAATGGATTACTTTACTTGGCTTTGTGGAACCAGGTGTTACTTTGCACAGCATGACAAGACCATGCTGATCGGAGCTGACCCAACTCACGTTGGTGATAGGTGCATCCGGGTGACCATTCACCATTGTTTCTTTGATGGAACACGGCAAAGACAGCCTCGTGTGAGATTTGGAAAAGTTCATCTCTACAACAATTACACCAGAAATTGGGCGATATATGCTGTTTGTGCTAGTGTGGAATCCCAGGTAAGTCTGCTGATACCATCCTAGGCTTTTTAAATTTGTCTGTGTTCTAACTGATGTGCAACATTCGGGGGGTGGTAATTGATTTCTTGAAAATCATTTTACAGATATACTCTCAGTGTAACATATATGAAGCGGCAACCAAGAAAAAGACTTTTGAATTTTATACTGAGAAGGTAAAAATATTTTCTCTTCACTCCACGCTTGCTGTTTTATTGTAATTAATTAGGTCCCTTCATCACCTATCTCAAATTTACTCTAAATTGGTGCTTTTAGTATTATTCTTCTATTTAAATTTGAATTTCACCTAAGTAACTCACGCGATAAAGGTTGACAATGAAAGTCACCAACTCACCATTATATATGAGGTCAGGTGAAATTCTAATTTGGTTTTAAGTGATTGTTTGGATAATTTCTTTAAAAACATTTCTCGAAGTAAAAAGTGTGAACAAAAAATGAAATATAATTTTTCATAAGTTAAAACTAGCTGATACATATACTTATTTTGTAATTTTGTGGAAAAGTTATATGAGAGATTCTACAAATTAGTTTATTATAAACTAATTTTAACTTATAAAGAAATATATTTCATTTTTTTAAGTGCTTTTTGAAATATTCAATTTCTTTACATTGTTTTGACAAATACATAGTTGTGTGATTTGACCAGGCCTTAAACTATGTAAATAAATAATTAGTTGATACTCCTTATAACGTGTTTGTTTTCATGTTGAATGAAACTGAACGGTAATCCATCTCTTTCCTTATTTCTACTTTTCTGCTTTAGAAAGTGTGAAAAACCCGTTGAATGATATTTAAACAATAAAACAAACACGCTATAGTCCAGTCATATTGGACATCAATTGATGTTCATTATAAAAATGTATCCCTAGGCAGCAGATAAGGAAGAGCAGAAGACTGGGTTTATAATATCAGAAGGAGACATGTTTCTGAATGGTGCTCAGCCATGCTCGGTTACTGAAAAGATAGAAGAGTCAATGTTCCATCCTAGTGAATATTACCCGACATGGACTATGGAAGCTGCTCAACATTCTCTCAGAGATGTGCTCCGGTTATGTACAGGTTGGCAAGGCATCACTAGGCCAATAGATCAAATGGTCCTTAATTGAGATTCATTGCACTGCAAGACTACACCTTCTGTTCATGTGGCACATTGACATTACATCAAGCACATTTAAGAAAGAAGGTTTACTTTGTCCCTTCATTCAATTCGAGTAGTACTACTACCATATTTATTGTATTATGTAAACAGTCAATTTTTGTGGATCTGACACTTTTCGATTTTGGTATTTATATCTGTCCCGAATAATAATTTTCATTGTCAGAAGTTATTCAAGTTTGAAATATTTAGTTGGCTTACTTTTTTTCTGACTAGCCTTTTTTTTTTTTTTTTAATGATAATTACATTTTTGCAGTGTATACAAGGGGTGATCAAGCAAGAGAAATATATAAGCACCTCGTATGAACTTGCATTGTCAAATTCCTTGATTTTGACTTAAGGTCACTTTTTTCTCATATGATGATTTGAAAAGGATATATTGAGTTATTTTTGTCAAAACTGGTACATAAGTTTTTTGAAAGCATAAAAATTAGTTAGAAATTGACTGTTTAACTAGTTGATAAGTATAAACTGACATTAAAAAAATGTTTAACTATGTGGCTACAAGTTTAAATTTAGGGTGTGTATTCAAATAATTTATAATCTCAAAACTAGGATAATAAATATTTTAATTTTATTCTCACTTAAAATAATTTTATCAAATGAAATGATATAATATAAGTGAATTGATATTATACCCCTGATCATTCATATTACAAAGAAATGATATTTAATGGGAGTAAGTATTAATTTTTTTTACAGCAAACATTAGAAAAGCAAAGAAGAAATATTATGAATAAAAAAGTTCAAATATGAAATAGCGATTTAAAAATGCTATAAGCCTGGAAAATAACCTTAATTACCCAACACTTTTATTTTAATCAAATATATTTTTAAGTTAGTCAAAATACTTAAAAGTTACTTATTTATCTTAAAGCTCTCTAATTCTAAAAATTTTCCTCATCAAATTCACATGCAAAGAATTTGGATTGAGATAGAGGGTTTAAAAAGACTAGTGCCATGATGTTTTGGTGTAGACTTCTTTAATTGGTTTGTTTTCCCCATTGAGTGTTAACATGCTTGCTTGGACCACGCCTAAAAAAATAGCATTAAAATTCCTACTACAATTTCGCCCACTTGTTAGATTACATAAAGTCATAAATTGATATTTCATTTTTTTAAAAAAAAAATTTAACTAAGTTAAAGCACTGAACATATCTACTGTAATCAGAAATGTTAGTTGTTATACAGCAAAATTTACGAGAGAAAATAGAGAAATTTAAAATTTAATAAATGAGAACAAAAATTCACTATTGCAAATAAAAATCACAAGCAATTTTTTTAATAAACTTGAAAATAAATCATCTACTAACAGTGTAGCATTAAAAAAATTGAATTTTTCACTCAAAAGTTACAAGAGGGATGAACATTCATTCACAAAAGATCCTCTCACTTGTATTGGATTCCCATAATTCTTCTCCCTTTACATAACCTGACTTTCACTTGGGTGGTACTTCGTCTCTTCACAAGGATTCATTTTATGATGGTAGTGAAAAACCCCATTCATAAATGACTTCGTACACTTTAATTATCGCACCTCTCCACCTAGCTTTTCATTATGACAGTGAAATTCTTCTGTACCTACTAATTTTTCACTCATTTGTTTATTTTAAAAAATGAATTATTTTCCCAACAACACACGATATTGTAAATAGTGGATATAAAAACATGTCAAAACCAAGGTGGAAGTCCCGTGAAATAGACATGACAAACGATTTTCCAGATCATTTGATGGCACATGCCAACGACTCCAAATTTTCCCCAACTTAATTTCACCGCATTTCCATGCTATTCGTAGCTTCAAATCATCCCTTCTAATCCACACAATAGAGATTGGGTCTAACAGAAACGGTAATCCCTACAACGTGATAAATAAAAAAGTTTTAATTTCTGTTAGTAGATATATCTACACTCAATGTTCAATAGTACCTTGAACTCGGTTGTCTTTGAAGAAAAATACATGTGGGGGAAAAAATGAAAAAGAAAAGAAAAAAAAAAAACTCATCCCTTCTTATCCTTCGTAATCCAAGATGTCAAGTTTCCTATACGCATCTTCAAAATCTCTATCACATTTCATGAAACAGCCCATGAAAAATTCTTGCACTAGTTTCTTGGGCTTTTTCTCTGGTAAAGTTCAGACAACTTTTGTACAAGTCACACACTCAGTTTGAATCAATGTTTTCGACTCTTGACACGTCTAATTATTTAATCCTCGTTTAAGAAATGTATAAATCAGTTGAAGGCACACTCTCAACGATGAAATTACCATTGTTATCAAACTAGCATTAAAGAACCAATACGAACTGTGGCATCACAAAACTAAGACACACGTTAGGATATATCACGAATATTTTGGAGTCTATAGCTTTGTTCTCGTAAAACGATGCGTAAGAATGTAAAGCTTGTTGTACAAAAAAAATTATTCAATTTAAATTTCTACATGTTATCTTTATTTTTAAATAATAATAAACTTTGGAAGTCATGACAACTAACGGTTAGACTTTATTAAGAACGAATTCTCTTCAAACAACAGCAAGCTCTTAAGAAGGCCCACAGGCCACAGGGCATCACATTATCTATTTTCCCCTTTATTAAGTTTCTACTTTTAGATTGGCCACTTTTACGCCTAAATAAGATATTTTTAAAATTACTCATGCTAAAATTAAAATTAAAAAAAAACTTACCAGTCATTAATTTATGTTTACCTTTAATCAAAACTTAACTTCTTTTGTTTTAACGATTTTAATACATTAAAAATTTAAATATAAAGAAACAAAAAGCACCTCTTGTACTGCTGATCTTAGAGCATGTTTAAACACCAGTTTAAAATCACCAAAAAAAAAGAAAGAATGCTAATAAAACAAAAATTTGTAAATATAATTTTTTTTCAATCCCAATTAAATTAAATTAGACTGGCTCTCATATACACTTAATAAAATAAATGGGATAAGTTTCGATATCAGCCTTTTTTGCATTCCCCTAAATAAGACATCGTTAAAATTACTTTAATAATAATAAGTCATCCTTGGCTTACCTATTTTCAAATCTTAGTTGTTTTTGCTATCCTATTTTAACCCTCTCTCCCTACTTGTCTTGATAAATTGTACTCATTCGTCACATTACGTTGAAAAATATTACTAGAAGACAGAAGTATAATGACAAAAAGACGAATACCACTAATCTTGGTACTCGAATACAGCACAATTTTCAATTATTCTTCCACAAACCAAAATTTGTTTCCTATGGTGTTATCAAATTGTGCTAATCAACATTAACGAAAAATAGGCAAGGATAATTTCCTATATTCAACAGTCATTTTCTTCTGAATTAACCAATTAAAGATTCTTGAAAATAAGCCAAAAGAAACTGCTTGGGAGGAAAGGAATTAGGCAATCATGAAAAAAGCCACAGATGAAAATGTTGATAAAAATAAATGACAAAAATGTAATGCATTTTTTCAATTTTGAACTGAAAATAACAAAAGAAACTAACAATTCGCATGAATACTGGTAGCTTCAAGAAACACCGGTCTAAAGACATAATAATTAAAAGGCAATGATAAGCAACGATTCCAACATGAAACTACAAAACGAGATGTATCAAAACTTGTCAAGTATAAAGGAGGTAAATGTCCAATTAATAGATAAGATTGCTCTAGTGTTACACCTTGATAGCATATTTCCTCATTGGGAAATATGTCTCTTTCTTCTTCTGCTTCTCTGTCTTCAATGATGCCTGGATGAAGAATTTAGAAAGGTTGTGAGCAACAACAAACATTGTCCAGCTCCAACACATAGAAGCAAACCACACTAAAATTACTATTTGAAAAGGTTAAAAAAACTATAAGTGGCATTTAAGAGCATAAATCCGAGTCATATTTTCCTTCATTTCTCTGATGATTTTCATGTATGAAAATAGAGAATGCTACAATTTAGGAATTTGTTTGTTACCATGATTTAGGAATCAAAATAAAAAAACAAAAAATGAGGACTTTCACAAATGGTTAAGAGTAAGACTTGATATAAATTCCTAACCAATGTTACTTCTCATGTATAAAGTTAATAGCATCCACAAACATCTACATCCATTTGAAAACAGTATTGCTCGAACCAGGATATCAATTCCATATAGTATGGGGGACGTGATTAGGAAATTTCTGTTTCCCTTAACATATTATCAGCCATTTTATGATACAGTTTGACACCAGAAGTATTTTTGGATAGCAACAGCACCCATATAATAGCTCCTTTAATTGCTGGTCAGTGGTTACAAGTGAGTCCATTTAAAAGAAAGTTCTACTATTCTTGTGGATTGAATGCAAAAACTGTTATGGATTAAAATAAAAGAAATAAAAGTGAATAAATATAAACACTGTGGACATCATTTGAAAATGAGCAATTCCCATGATTGATTGATCCAAATACATGAAAACGTATGGATGGATGAAGACAAGTTTCTATGCATCCCATTGAATTTCATTCAAAAGAAGAACCTTATAAAGATTGTACTGATTCTTATTAAAAGAACGAAAAGACTAAGGTTGTTCAAAAAAGCACAGGTCAACTAAATTGTATTCTTGTAACAACTCTGGGGGCATAACTTTCAACATCAAACACGAAATTAGAATTTAGAACCTGCCGATGTACATCCTAATTATTTCAACAGACAATTTTCTTCAAATGAGGTGAAATAGGTAAAACACAAACCCACCCACCAATATTAGAGGCAAGGGATTTTTACCCCTTCCCTCCCCTCTGACCAAACAGTGATCGAAAGGAATATCAAAATGGAATTTGAACAAGACACAAGTAACCCTTAAAGCACACGCAAACGGTCCTAGCCAGTCAGATAACCAACTTAAAGAAGTTAAATTGGAGCAACATCTTAAAGATCACACATAATTAAGGTATTACATAAAACTAATATTCAAACTAGATCAGCTAGTCACTATAAATAAAAACAGGAACTAAGTAAAAATAATGCAAAAAACAAAATAAAAATTGAGCTCATTCAAACCAATGAAATCCATTCAAATAAGACAAATGACTACAAGGGAATCACATTAAAGTACACACTTCTGTGGACATAAAATTACGAATTTCATTGGACGAAGAATGAAAGGCAATACCTGGTGCTTGGTAAGCCTTCTGCGAATAGCCCTAGTCTTCTTAGGGCGCAGATCAAGAGGCAAGTACTTCTTGTTCTTATAGGCATCCCTCAACGCAGCCTTCTGCTTCTGAGAAATCACCGTCAAAACCTGCGCAATCGACAACCTCACCACCTTTCTGCAACCCCAAATTCGGAAAAGACATTAAAACAAACACATCATAGGCAAAAGCATAAGAGAAACAACCCATTAAGAAAGGAACCGAATTTTACATCTTGGAGAGCTTGTTAGGGGCACCTCCGGTGACCTTAGCGACACGAAGCAAGGCAAGCTCCGCCTTTAGGTCCTTCAGCTGATTCAACAGCTCAGCCTTCGTCTTCTGCCTCAGTTCGTAAACCTTGATCCTCGCTGCATACAGAAAAAAAAAATGATTTCAATCACAGCTATTGATAAAAACTAAAAAGGAAGAGAGAATAATGGTTTTGGAAAATACCCATTGCTAGCAATTTCAGGAGCTTCTGCTATGGCTGCGCCTCTTCGCCGTAAACCCTAATTTTAAATGGGAGGGACAAGCTCGCTTTAAAGGACTTGGGTTCTTTTAGTTATATAAGGGTTGCGTAGGGTTTGGCCCATTTACGTTTGAGTTTGGGTTTAGCCCAGCTGGGTTCTTAGCTGCTCCTTCTCATGGGTTGGGCTTAGGAGGTAGGAACTGATAATGATCAGGCCTAGTTACGTAAAACATATTTATATAATCTTTTTCCATTATTTTATAATTAAGAATATTATTATATGCAAAAAATATATAATGAAAATAATAAAAAAAAGGCATCAATATTAATAATTATTTATTTACTATTCATGTTATAGATTATAATTGTTGGATTAATTAATGTGATAACTTATTAGATTACAAATTATTCAATTATAAAAATTAAAATATCACATACTTACATGAATATAGAAAAAAAAATTTAACAATAATTATATTAGAAAATAACAGTTGAAGAGAGTTACGAAATTTCTCTCTTTTAAAAAAAATTGATGTACCTAATAAAACATATAACTATATTTTTAGTCTTTTAATTTATTTTTTATTTATTATAATTTTAAATAAAAAATTATTTCAATTTTTATGGTTAGATATCATTAATCAATTTGTCAAACATAATTCACATATTATTAAATTTGTCGCACAATAAATCATATATTAATATTATACAATTGATTTAATATATCATAAGAGGTTTTTATGGACTTAAATAAGTTTGCATAAATTACAAGAAATCATATTTAATGAAACAAAGTTGGTCCAATATAAATTTGTTTGCTTAATTTAGCGGGTGTGATTAAATTAATTTTTATTATTGAATAATCTTTGTTATCACTTCCTTACAAATTATAATTTATTTAGAAATAAACTGACAAATAATAATATAATAGTTTTATTTTATTTATTTTCTCTAATAATATCTATATTATTAATTTTGTGGGTTAACGTAATGATGAAAACATCTTATACTAACACATTACAAAGACAATCTATATAGTATAGAATCAATTTTAATTCATGTGGTATACAAAAACTCATCAAAATATTGTCGATTACAATACCGTAAATGGAATTATTCTCTAGTCTAATGAATTGGGACAAACACATGGTAGGAAAAAAAAATCTTAGTAAACCAAATGTTATAATCACTTTCCTTTGTCATCATGGGTTTCCGTTCTCTGCATATTGTTAGACACCTCATTTTTAGTTCTATATAGGAACCTACTGAAAATTATATTATATAATAATTCCTCTTCTTTACAGTATCTTTCATTTTAAATAAATAAATTTAACTGTTATTATAAAAATTAAATATATATCAGTAAAGATTTTTTTTATCAATTTTATTGTATTTTTGATTTTTTTTACTGAAAAATAAACAATGTAGTAAATAAATATGAGAAAACCAAAAACAAAAAATGCATATATTTAGAATGAGCATGTGTTTGTTGATTGTGATTTATGGGTAGAAGAAACTAAGAGGAAGAGTACAGTGGCTATAGAACGAAACTCGACGGCTCATATGTTTTAGTATGCAACTAAATGGATGTATTTGAAACCTTATCTTATCTCTCATTTTTTAAAATTAGACTCATTCCACCAATTAGACCCATTTGAACAATAAGGAATTTTCAATCAGTTTAATTGATCTCAAAAATCATTTGCTAGTGAATGGATAAAAAATCACTAGAATTGATACAAAATTGGTTAAACCAATTTCAACCCATTTATTAATAATATAAATAATATTTTTATAAATAATATTTAATAATATTTAATTTATAAATAATTTTTTTATTTAATTTTAAATATTATAAAATTATAAAATTATATTTATTTAATATTATTTTTATTAATAATATAAATTATTATTTTATTAATACTAATTTAACCACAACTTAACTACAATTGAATTATTACATCTTTAACTAATCCTTAGACTAATGTGATCCAAGTTTGAAAACCCCGCAAATAAGGATTAGTTGTTACTTGAAACTTGATTCCATTTTGTATTGTGTTGTGTTGTGATTGGAGGGTTGAATATAAACATAAAGTACTACTAGTCTGGGATACTCTGATGCTACTGTGCTTAACATGTTGCTTTCTGCTCAACTTCAAATGATTTAACCTTTTCATTTTGTCTGTACTCACTATAAAAATAAGGAGGAAAAAAAGGTGCATATGCTGAGTTAATATGACAATTGACATCAAACAATAGGTTGTTTGGTTTATGAAAATTGTGAAACAATTAGATAATACAAATTAAACCTATATATTACAAATGTGTGCATACAAATCCTACAAACTATCTATAATTTTTTTTTTTGACTTGGCAGTGTCCCATTTTCATATAAAAAGAAAAAGACACATTGACAATCTAACTTAACCGGCCCTCTCAAGTCTTAACAAGATATTTAAAAAGTTTTCAAGTTTCAAGTCTTGAAAAACTTAATAGTTAATACAAAGAAAAACACTTATAAGAACCAATGAATTCCCTCCTACCACTCTTGTCTCTTCAACACAGGAAATTTTGATAAAGAGCTAAACAAATAAAATAAATAATAAAAAAATAAGAAAGTAATGAGAAATAAAGATGATGGAGAAAGTTGAAGAAAATTTTCGTGTAAGATGTTATCTTTACCAATTAATTTTTCTCTTTGTCAACATCTTCAACTACAATAATATATATATATATATATGTATATATATATATATATATATATATATACACTGTTAACAATGAATGATTAAGTAATATAAAATTAATTAAAAAAATGATTAAAAAATTGTAAAAATTACAAACAAACAAAAAATTGGGCATAATTGGAGTTGGTTAACATCACTCCATTCATTCAAGAATCAGTTCCACTAGTAAACATTCGCTGCACATTATTTCATATGTTTAAAGCAAAGAATTTCACAATTGCGTGCACTTTTGTATATACTAGCAGTTTCATTAAAAAAAAAATATATATGTAACAAATGAAATATATCTTATGGAAGGTTTAAGGTTTGTTTTGATATTCTTCCTTATTTTTTATTTTTTAACAAAAGTTTAGTATTATCATCCAACTTTTTTATTTTATTTCAACAAATTCCACCACA